GAGACTTGTTACATTAAAATACATCCATTCCAAAGTTCAGAGTTCAATCCCCGGTACCACAAAAAAAAAACAAAACAAAAACAACAACAAAAAAACCAAGATTGGTACTTTCATTTTGAGCCAGGGGTTTAGCTCAGTGGTTCTGCCACCTGCTTCACAAGCACAAGGACCTGAGTTCAATCCCCAGTACCAAAAAATAAATAAATAAATAAATAAATAAATAAAATACATCCATTCCTCAACCATGGCCCCAAATAGTCATGTGTCTTTAACAATGAATCCTGGTTCTTTATCTTTCTATCTTTGATGTCATCTTCCTACAGTTCAGGAGACAAAAATATTCATCTTTTCTACTGACTGGCACATTCTTTTGTGGATCAATTCTCCAACAGATTATTTTAAGCTCTAGTAAGTCAAAGAGGATTTTAAAATCAGAAAGATATTTTCCTGCCATCTCAGCCACTGTTTAAATAGTCAATGGCAATAAATTTCAAAGAGTACTTATACCGGTCCAGGCCCAAAGACAAGCTGCTTCCTTTCCTAACAGTACCTAAGCATCGAACATTGTACTTTCTTTGCTTTGTCTCTGAATGCTCACAATCCAAAATTACAGACTAGGAAACAGAACCTCAGAGATGTGAAATTTTCTTGCACAAAATCACATGGCTATTTAGCAGCAGTCAGGTTTTAAATTCATGTCCATTTCATGTAAGAGCTAGCACTCTTTCCCATCATGCCGAAGCATCACTTTCATTTTTAATTCAAGTAATTGTTGAGAAATGATTTTTTATTCAACTACACTCAGGAAATGTCAACTGCTCATTTCCAGAACTCACTTTTCAGCTGTTACTAGGACTTCTGTTTTCTCCAGCTGTATTTGTGTCGAGTCACCATCTGTAAGAAGAGAGAAATACATTAATCCTGCAGACAGTGCTTCGTTCTCATCCAACTTAGTCCAGCCCTCTTACTCTAGCAATAACCTTTAAGATTTATCTAGACATGCCTTGTTAAGTAAGTGTTCTATTCTGGAGCCTAAGTCTCGATAGTCTCCAGAATCAGAAAAAATAAAATGCAACAATTCCAGGCAACATGCAAGTAATTCACGCAGAGATAATTTTAGCTGTTCAGTATTAAAAAAGTAAATTCAGAGCTCTTAAAAAACAGAAATGAACAAGTAACATATACATATTTATACATATGAATATTCATCCCTGAGACAATAGTGTAGTTTCAAGTCTTCAAAGGGAGCCCTATTCCCCAGCCACTGCCACAATGTACTGTGAACACTTACCTGACTTCTCTACTTTTGGTACCTGCTGTACCTCATACACACAGTTCTGTGAGATACCTAGGTTTGGGGGCCAAATTGGAATAGATAAAATTCTTTGTCCCCGTGAAGACTGTTCTTGGCCAGATACCTAAACAAAATTTCAACAGGTATCTTAAGTGAATAGATTTAAAATGTATGTACTGAAAAGTTATGTCTTAAATAAAAGGTAACCTAAGAATGATAAATATTACCCTTTCTTTGTTCATTAATTGGCTATCTGTGCATATAAAAACATGTTCAAATACACTTCAGAAAGTACTGTTTACATGAAAAATGACAATCTTCCCCTGTGCTTTTTCTCTGATTTGAACATCAAAATAATCTGTTGTTTTGGACTAATCAAATACTAAGAGAGATCAACTCTTTTAAAATTTAAAACCATCACTCAAAATTCCAGCAAGTAAGAGCTTATTTTGGTTAAATATACTGAGAATCAAGTGATTTACAGTAAGCAGAGGAAAGCAAAATAATATGGGCTAAATTATATTAAGCCAAAGAATGAAAATATATACCACTATGTAAAGGAAAACTTAAAAGTAAATATTAAATTAGTTTTGCCAATTGTACTGCCCACATCCCACATTCAAATTCTATCTTGCCACAGTGTGGAGTCCCTTATTCACATCTGCCAACACCTTTTCTTTTTCTCCTTGCCTGTCCTCCCGCTTTTTGGCTGCCTGAGGGTAAAGATAAAATTGCACAAAGTGGTAGCTAGAGAAGATCATCATGGCTTGACAAAGTATATCGGGTCATCTGAGGTTTTGAGCAGCCACATGCCGAGTATTCTCATATTAGGACAGACAGGGCGACGAAGTTCATCTCCTATAATGATGAAGTGACCACATACCTTTCCTATAGCAAGTCCTTCATAATTCAGCCTTCCTTCCTTTATGAAACTATAGAGTGGAGAACCAGGAACAGAGTTAAAGTCACCGCACATAACAATGGGACAGAAACTGCCATCTTTCTGGTGAGCAACATTGGAAATCTCTGCCAGCAGCATTGCCAGCTGGGTCAGCTTAATATCACCTCGCCTCGGGTTGTACAACAGATGTGTGTTAGCTACACAGATTGTACGAGAGGCAGCACAGGGGATTTTGGGCTGCAAGAGTAAAACTAATCCAATATTGTCTCTGTCCAAGAGAGGGATATCACGGCGGTAGAATTCCACTGGGTTCACTGATAAGAGTGAAAACTTGGAATGTTTGAAGCAAATGGCACAGCCATCAGGTTTCCTTCCTGTGCGCATCTTATATTCACAGTGATAACCTATAAGAAAAAAATGAATTTAAAACAAGGGACTGCTCTCATACGGTACTGCTCTCATACGGTACACAGGTGTCAAACAGCTCTACTGTCTCTGAACAATGCTTCCATTAGTAACGTAGGATGGCAGGAAGTGTTGTAACCAAAACGCTTAGGATTGGTTTGACAGGTATGCTAGTGTGCACGAATTCTCTCAGTCATGACAATGACAGTGAGGACTTTAGAAAATCCGCCCCTCCTCCCCATCCTGTATCTCTGGTCTTCTTGCCTGTATCTCTTTCTCCCTGCCCTGATTCACAGTATACTGGCTTCCTCCCTCACCTCAAACATATCCCAACACCAGAAATTTCTGCTAAGAATGCTCTAAGCATAGCTTATTCCTTTACCTCTTTTAAGTCTTTGTTCAAATGTCAATTTCTCTGATCATTTTGCTTAAAACCTCTTCCGCTGCACTTTCCTGTCTCTGGAAAACTATAATTATTAAATGTGCTCTTATTTGGCTTATTGTAGGCTTTTCTCCATAAAGGAAGAAAAGTTTTACCCATTTTGCCCAATGTTTTACTTTACCATCCAGAACAGTAGACAGGAGACACTGAAAAAACTAGTTGTTGCATGAATGCACATTTCTCAAATTTATACAACTATAGATGATGTTTCTAAAAGCATTTCAACAGGTTTTAAGCTTTTATCCATTATACAGCAGCTCTAATGATGAAACAGGCAGAATGGTCCGTGCATTGCTGTTGCTCAGAACCTTAGATGTCTAGCTGTGCGCAAGGAGCAAGTCAGAGACATCAGAATACACCATGCTTTCCAAATGAAATGCCTCACTCTTTCTCTGACCTTTTAAAATAGATACTGTATTTTCAAAATTAAGAATTTTTCGTCCAAATATGCCATACATCTTTGGTTAGCAAGTTATGCTTTCATAACACACAAATCTTCAAAAGTACATCTAGCTAAAATAAGTTACACTGTACCCAAAGATTCCAGACTTGGCCTTATTTCTGCTCCATAATGATCTTCTTGAACTTCCTGGAGACAAAGTACCTTGGAAGAAAACAATGGCTTGGATTAACATATAGAGATGCAACTGCGAATGTTCTAGTGCTTTCATCTTTAAAAACAGACTTCTCAAATTCCAAACTTGAGAACTAAAATAACTTTGTTATTTATAGATTAAATTAATATCTCCAAATTTGATCAATCTCAAAACCCTGGTGAGTTAATCACATGGTGCTTTTTTAGCTCCAAAAGTTGCTACTTCCCAAAAGAAATATTTTAAATTTATGTGTCAGACTATGTTTCTTGAATTTATATGTTAATTAGTACTAGTGTCCTGGGCCCCTTCTTAAGAGGTTGATTTCTTTCAATGCTATCATCTAGATGGAATTTTTGTACAAATTATTGAAAATTCAAATTTTAAAATTTACTTAATATGTTGTCAGACCCTATCTCAAAGCTGACCAATATGAGGCTAGGGATTTAGCTCAGTGTTTCCGCCACCTGCCTTGCAGGTACAAGGTCCAGAGTTCAATCCCTGGTACCAAAAAACAACAAAAAAATTTCAAATTTTTCAGATACTTTTCAAAAAGTCAGATAGGCCGGGGATTTTGCTTAGTGGTTCCGTTGCCTGCCTCACAAGCACAAGGTCCTGAGTTTGATCCTCAGTATCAATAAAAAAAAAAAAAAAGGTCAGGCGATTATTCATACAACCAACCATTAGCAAATGACTCTCTTGAAGTCCCAATGCCTTAGTAAGAACTGTTTCAATACCTTTCTTTAATATCTTTCCTTCTTGTCTCACAACAAAAGGTATGAAAATATTTCATTCCCAAATGCACAAATGAAATGTTTAATCCAACTTTTCCTTGCATGGAAAATTTGGATAATTTGCACTTACATCTGCATCAAAGTGTTTGATTTCTTTCAGAATATTGGGAAACCTGAAACTCCAGTGTAATATTGGCCGTCGGCAATGTCTGTAAAGGTGTGAATTATCTTCCAATAAATCTTGTGAAAGTATATTATAGGACATCACTGAAAAGTCAAAGTTGTTCTCACTGTCTTCACATTTGGGATCAACATTTTTGTCTCCGAGGATCTTGGCATTTTCTTTATTATGGTTACATACATATTCCCAATTCCTTTTTATCGTGCCTGTTAAAATACAATAGACAAAGCATAACAAATTAATAAAAAATAAAACACATATTTTTCATGTAGAAGTATGCTCTTATAAAAATTCCCACAGTCAGTGAGCTAAAATGTTTTTCCCTAGGAAATGGCAATATAGCACTGAATAACTAGAAGTTCTCATCAAATTGATTACAAAGGCAGCAAAATGATACAGTGACTGACCAAAGGGTATACAACAGGCTTAAGAGGATCTAGCAAGTCCTTCTGGAGGCTGAAATCATGCGCTAAGAAAGCTAAGACTATACAAGGGTTGTGGTTTCTCTTTTCTGGTTAAGTGGTTTGACATAAGCATCTTTATAAACATAATGATATATTTGTATGTCACAGCTAGCTTTTCAATGAGATGATTTTACACAGTACTTTATTCCCCATTAGTAAGATAAAATTATCAGATGATTAAGGTCCAGAAAAAACTTTGTTCCAAATTCTAGTTTACACATGAAGTTGGCAAAATGGCAATGTAAGGAAAAGGTATTTAATGTCTAAAACATTAAAATGCATCAATGCAAACCAAATGAACAAAAGAAATCTTTTTACACAAAAGCAAAAATTAAATGAGACAATTACAGATGCTAATAAATGATGGCTGCCTGACAAACTCAGCAAGCAACAACCAGAAATGTGTTAGTTTATGCTCTGCAGACAACACGTACCCCAAAAAAGGGATGAAAAGAGAATAAAAAAGGAAGAGATTTTACAATTATAGGTAGTCCTTGACTCAAATTACCAAAGTGTGTACACACACACATGTGCACACACATTTTCACCTCTGATCTTGTATCTCTCATCCCACCATTAAAAAGGACACTGCTATAGAAGCTACGAAAAAAAAAAAAAAACAGAACTTTTGGAGAATCTAGGCACTCAAAAGGAGAAAACAATGGGAAGAAACTAGATTTGGAGATGGACTTCCAAGCATGAAAGGGCTACATGAAAAATTTCAGCCCTAGAATATCTTCCTCTATCCTGCATGAGGTCTTTTACTTTATTGCAATGCCTACCAATTAAAAATTAAATTGTTAAAATATTCTATGTTTACACATGGGTTAAAAAAAGGGAAATATACTAGTTTTTTTAAAAATTTCTGAGTAGGATGATTGTGGGAGTCTTTTCCAAATCATCTATAATGACATATTTACAATCAAAATATAAATATATTATTTAAAAATGTGAATGAAGCTATAACTTTAAAAAACCTGGTTAGTTTCATCAGATTACTTTCCTCAATATCTAATATATAAAATCTGCTGCAGTGAGAAGGATAGAAGAGGAAGATAATTTGTATGACTAGTGAGGTCTGGATGGAACAGAGGAGTTGGAGATTTATGACACCATGAAGGTATTAAGAAAGGATGAAAAAAATGTGGAAGGAAACAAAACCAAACTGAATAAAAGTTTTTCATTTACAGAATTTTGCCTAGAGCTTGTCTTGTGCCCAGGTAAGGGAAGGATTCTATTCTATTCCCTGTCCTTCACTGAATATGGAGAATCCTAGCCCCTGCAGGCTCAGAAGTGAGCTAACTGATCCAGCTCTACAGAACTCCTTTGAATGTTTATTATACCACTAATAAACTAGGGATTACCTATGAAGGTGTCTTCACAAAGCAAAGTCTTCACATGTATACCAGATGGAAAGGGCTCTAGTCATGCAAACAAAATGTAAGCTATCATCACAAATACAGCACTATCAGGGTTCACTGCCATCTTAAAATATGGAAGACAAGGTTGTAAAAAACTTGCTCATAGTTCCTTATGAAGTACGTAGATATAATGGCTTTTATTTTTCTTTATTTTTTATTTTTATAATAGCTTTTAAATGCATTAAGATTTTTATGGTCCTGGTAAGGAAAGTTTGTAAAATAATTCTTTTTGCACTTTTAAATAACCAGGACTATGGATTATCTGATTAATGCAGTGGCTTTCCAACTTCTATCGCTTGCAGAACCCTTTGCCAATGCTTTTCATGTCCTGGAACACCATCTCTGGCATGGTGGGACTGGTGCTGGGACAATGGGATAAACACAGATTTTACCCTGACCACATCTGCTTTTCAAAAACACAAATGATGCGTTCAAATATGAGTTCCATGGAAGACAATTTGAAAGCCACTGACACAGTGGATAGTCTTTGGCCTTCATATACTTCACAACATATATTCGTATTGCAAAAGCTTATATACCTTCCATGTCAGCAGAAACAAGGTGGTCACAGCAGAGAAGACAGATGAATCAAAGAAAGTTAGCAATAGGCCTGATCAAGTTTTTGGGGTGCCTAATTATAAAGTCATAATTGTGTCACACAAATCCTTCAAATACCACTTTTAAGTGATAGGTAATTTAGCAATGCTGTTCTCTTGATTGAAAAGAATTAGTGAAATACCGGAAGTCACAAATAGGGCTTAACGCAGAGCCTTTTCCTTATTCACACCTAGGAAGAACGGACACATAAACAGTCAGGTTGCAGTTAGAGACGATCAATCTGTTAACGTCATTCCCCATCCATTAAAGGGAAAACAACAACAGCACAAGTTTCTGAGTACCTACTATGAAGCCCACATGTGTTAGGCACTTTGACATCTTTCATTTCCTCCTCAACAGCCTCTCAAAGCAGGAGTTATTTTACACTAGGTATCCAAGGAACAGAGAGGCTGAGTAACCTTTCCAAGTTCAAACTAGTGGTGGGATAGAAATGAGGACAGAGAGTAGCACCTAAGCCCATGTTCATGTCACCAGACTGGCTCCATATGTGGGCACACCAGATTTAGAGGATAAACAGAGGAAGAATGCCCGCTGCTGTTCATCAGCAACACATTTGGACAAGAAAAACAATCTGAAATTGTCATACAGATCTGGATTTACAGATTATGTATGAATTGTCTTAGGAATTTTTTTTTTTTTTTTTTTTTTTTTGTACCAGGGATCAAACTCAGGACCTTGAGCTTGCAAGGCACATTGCAGCACTACTGAGCAAAATATCCAGCCCTTGTTCTTAGGAATCTGATTTTCAGTGCCTCTAAATACACCATCAACTATCTCTATAGGCTACGGTTGAGTGCAGCACAAATAGATTTTTACTTTTTGAGTGACTAGAATTTCTACTTACATGTGTTCTTTCCTAAATTCTTGTAACCATATAGCAATATATTATACGTTTATGTGAATATTAATTTAATAACTGTCAGGAACCCAGCTGAAGTCTGTGGTCTACTTTTTATTGGCAAAGACAGAAGGAACCCAAACAGCACTACTCTCTGTGTCTTCCTTTGACACCTCCCTACACAATCACACACACACACAGCCTGCTCTCAATGTCTTCAGAGGGATTACCTTCACTGGACACTACAGTTTAGTAAGACAACTCCAAAGCCTACTTACACTTACAGTTTCGAGGGGTTGGAGTGGGTGTAGGGATGAGAAGGGCTAGGCACAAAAGGAGCTAAGTGATTTGTGTAGAGTAAAAAGAATCTGAGAAAAAGTAGATGTAATCATTGTATTTTAATTGTTTCTCAAAGCTGGATACGAAAAAAAAAAAGAAGTTGAATACGATGTGATTCCTCTTCTAAAAGATAAAACTTCCAACAGACTCAACAGTCTACCGATAGACCCCAATTTGAGAAACACTAATTTAATAAACTAAAATTTTATTCTTTTACTTAGGATCATTTCTACTTAAAAGAATCCTCCCCATTTTGGGGCAGTACTGGGGATCAAACCTACGGACTTGTACATCAGGCAAGTGTTCTACTACCAAACTACACCTTCAGCAATTTTTTTTTTTTTAAAAAAACAGGGTCTTGCTGGGGATTTAGCTCAGTGGTTTGGTGGC